CCAGTCTCTCCACCCCAGCCAATAAAAGCTGAGAATTGGGCTAGGCACCTGGAGATCACACAAAGCCTCCCCCTCCCCGCAGAGCAAAGAGCCACATGGACCGTGCTTTAAACCGCAGCAGGTGCGTGCCCCACGATGGTCCCGACAGAGTGGTGCACAGGCCGGATCCGGTGGCTTGGCGGGCTGCAGCCCTGCCTCAGACATTTAAGTACAGTTGCTGCTAGCTGCATGCTGTTTCCATAAGGCTAGGATAGTATTATTACCACATCTTCTATGTCCACACTGATATGCCACCTTCATATGGACAGTACACATATTGGTGTGTATACATTGGAAAAAATAGCTTTCATATTACTACAACAGCCACCAAATGGTGAAATACCATCAGGACCTTGCTAGATTCTAGACATTTTTATCACTGTGTCAAACATGTAGGCTTAGTTATGATGATGATGTCATGTTGCTGGAGACTGTTGCTGCTATATGCTAATTTTTTCCCTTGTATCATCCAAAACACAGAGCAGGAAATAATACTGCTTTGGAAGTACAAAGGGCTGAAAGCGGGTCTTTGTTTGCACCGAGCGCTAATCTGGTTACACATGTACGGTAACAAAGCCATGCTGTCTATTGCTAAATAAGATATGGTCAATGGTTACAGAAAGCCCACTTGCATCTTACAGCATCTCTTTGAAAGGAATTCCCTTCATATCATTTGTTAATGTACAGTATTCATTTTTCACTGCCAATGGCAAGTTTATTTCTAGCATTTAGATAATCCTTAAAATGTTCTAAAGTGCTGTGAAGTCTGTTCATAAAAAAAACCCACTGTATATACTCCTCAGAAATGGTGCTAACTCAGTTCCCCTTTTCGTTACAATAGAATCAGTGTCATACAAGATAGGGATAGAAGCTACTTCTGGTGCCATCTAAACCAGTCCCCAAATCAAGCAGAAGATACAATATAAGGAAATTATTTACCCCTCATAACTGAAGTTCTCTGAGATATGCAGTCCCTATCTGTAGTCCACTATGGGTACAAACGCACTCTGTGCATCTGAGAAAATTCTTACAGGTCAAGAGATACCCAAGCGTTTGCCCCAGATTTAAAACAAAAACAACAAAACCCCCAAACCTTCTACCCAGATATGTAACAAAGTCGAGTCTGTTCCGCTATCAGTAAAAATGGCTCTCACCATTTTGGAAAAGGAGTACTCTAGTTCTGAGACACCCATCCAAATATCAACCTGCAAGATGAAGAGCTTCCAGACTGGTGTGTTTGCCCCAACCATTTTCTTGATTCCAGAGGTCTGCAAAAGATGACTACTGGTGGGCAACCAGTCCGATACATGCAGGAGACATGGAAATCAGAACTGCCTGGGCGATCTGGGCACAATGAGAATGACCTGTGCTTTGCCCTTTTGAATTTTCCACAATGTTTGGTGAAGCAGGACAGAAGTGAAGGTATCAATCAATGGCTTGTCATGGGGAACAGGAAAGCATCTCTGCTCTGGAGAACTGGGCTTGAGCACCACTGGTACAGCACGTTCTTGCGCTTCCTGTTTGTTTGGAAGGCAACTAGGATCTGGGCAGGGGTTCCCCACGGAGTGAAGGCTCTATCCATCACTTTGCCACTGACCCCAAGTGGTTATGAAATGGTTACGTGCCTGCTACAGCTGGCTGCTAGGAAATTCTGAGCTCCTAAGCAATACACTACATTTCTGTTAGTCTCTGAAGCTGCAGGACAATTCACTGTTTTTTTAAAAAATGTTCAATTACAGACTGACATGGCTACCCCTCTGAAACTGCCAAGAGGATAATTTGGTCCTTGATGCAGCAATTCAACGTACCAGGGAATAAAAGCCCAGGAACTTAGAATAGCTTTAAAAAATTGATCAGGAGGGCCTAGAAGTCAGAAATTCTAAATTGCAGGCTGGTGGAAATAAACAACTGTCTCCTTACAAGGCCCAAATGTTTGGCTTCTTTTATGAAACAGCGGCGAGGAGTCCTGTGGCACCTTATATGAAACAGTGACTCTTGGGTGCTGTTGTCTGGGACTTTCTGTGGCTCCTTGGGTAGTGCAGGCATTCAGGACAGGCGAGAGAATAAGAACTCAGCACCCCGAGCCACGAAAAAAAAAATCAAGTTTTTCTGCCCTGTTGGAGGTATGAACTCAGGTAGCTGGTATATACTGTACCAGTTTTTGCTGGACCTAGTATGGCCTTGTCAGTGTTAGTGCTACTTGCCTAGATTCCATAGACTAGAGAATGACTAGGAACTTGTGTTGCATGTCCTAGACCTCCGAGAAGATAATTTTGAGCTGTTCTGCCGCTCTCAGAAGTAGCTCTTTGAATGGCCTGTGGCTGCCCAGAGGAAACACTGAGGCTGGTGCAAGCACCATGCTGGGCAAGGAAGATGATACGCTTACTAGTATACGTGGCACCAACAAATCCAGCTCATCTTCCATAGGCTCAGGAGGCTCTAGACAGGGAAGGGTGCAAGATTCCCTCTTTTGGATATCACTGCCTCTGGGACCCGTATATACAGATCCCAGTAAGGCCAGTCGGAGGTTGTAAGTAGGTGGTGATGGCATGGGGTATCATCAGTTCCAAGGAGAGAGTCTCTATTTGAGAAGACAAATCTGGTACAAGGAGACTCCCGATCCTCTGGCTGAACTCCTTCAGTGGAGCAGACCGTTTCATTGGTACACCCAACTCACCAGGTGGGTCCAGTTCTAGTGGCAGTGCTGTCAGTACCAGTGCTGAGAAGCCACAGCTAGAGAATGAGTAAGAAGACAAGCTTCTCCCTGAGTCCATGACTTCTACTGGTATTAGACTCTCTCTAGAAAGGACTGGTCCAAGTAACAAGGAGAATGCGAATAGCGTCTGAAGCGATATAAGATACTAGAGCCTTAGAAGGCTGCATCCCATTACCTTGGACCACCAGGGTCATTGAAAAGGAACTTTCAGTAATCAGTGGTTCCTTATGGGCCTGCTCTGCGACTCTGTCTTAGTCAGTACAGTGGTCGGTGTCAATGGCAACGTGGGGGGTGGTACTGAATGAGCCTTCTACCTGTGCACCATCTGATCACAGCCAGGAATCTTAGGAGGACCCAAGTCCTAAAATCCTGGGCACAGAGACTTGGCCTATCTGAACAAGAATCCCTTTTCTCAGGGATTTTAGAAGGCAAACTGCTTGTATACTTCTATGTGCTGTTATGTTAGTAAGGAGGCCCAGATACAAGATTCTTTGCTTTAGTTATTCCTGCTCATGAGTCAGACATGAAGATAAGAGGCACACTTTTTGATGGCGTAGGAGGCCTATGTACATGGGGTGGAGCTTCCTCAGTTTGGATCTGACTCTTTTGGCCAGGAGCGTCTGTTGGGACCATATCTATGGCCCAAAGTATCAAGGAGCTCAACATTTTTTTCCAAAATACTTAGAATCTGGCTATTCACCTGGATTGTCCAAAGCCTCATTCTGATTGGCCAGGTAGCCTAATACATTGTCACAGTCATGTCTGAACTCCCAACAGTGAGGGAGATAAATGTTAAATGTGAGGTGAGGGTAGGAGGAATGGAGAGAGGGGTAAATGTGAGGACCAAAAAAAATCATCTTATGGAGACAGTGTGGAGAAGGGCAGCAGGAAGTGTGCAGTGGAGACAGTGGGGAAGATTTGATTCTAAACTGATCCTCCTCTCTCCTAAACTGCCACGTTTTCACATGAGCTGTCTTTGTAGGACTTTCAATCACATTCAGGAATTTTCTCTTGTAAAAGATAAATTGGGATCTGTTCAATACTCCAAGATTAGTAAAATAAAGTAACTTACAAGTGGCTGCTCTAGCCCACAAACTGATGCACAAACAACTGGTTTTGGGGGGGGGGGGAGAGGTTGTGGGAGAGGGAGAGAAAAGGAGGCTTAAATACTTTCAAAACCACAAGAAAAAGGTGCTGCTAACCATTTTTCTATGAATGCTCCTTTTAACCCGTTGATAGAAACTGCTTTTAAATAGAAGGAAGAGATTCCATAAACACTCACAAAATTAACTTTAAAAGATATTACAAGAAAATACATGAGCAAATTAAGCAGCAATGCTGTGATCTCAATATGCTATTTTAGGGTGCACAAGTCCCCGTCCCCCCCACACCCTGGGAGCGGAGGGATTGCCAATATACAGGCCGCTCCGGTGGAAGGGATAAAGGGCACCCTGAAGTTGAGCTGGCGGGGCGGGTTCCGGCGTGGCCTAGGGGATAGGGCGCTCGCCTGGGGAGAGCAGGGTGGTGGGCTCAAGTCCCGCCCACTCAGGGAGAGGAGGGATAAGGCACACCCTGAAGGTAAGGTGGTGGGGTGGGCTCTGGCATAGGTTGTTGAAATACTTCTCTAGTAGGCACTCAAACTTTGGTTTGAGTCTCAATGTACATGAGGTTCATGACTACAAAAGCATTTGTGTTCAGCAAAAACAAACAAAAAAAAGTTGCCTTACCAAAAATAGAACTGCCTTACCTCTGCAGGTTCAATCCTTGGTGATAGCATACAAGTCAGTGTATTTTCACCCATGTTGTATGGGTACTGTTTTAGGAAGCAGCACATTGATTTAGCTGAGTCAGGACTATCTAGCTGAAGAATTGCCTTTAAAAACGTAAAAAATGGGCACAAAGATTTATTTTTTTCTATTTGAAAACCTAATTAATAAATAAATAAAGACACTACAGTGCTAAGTAATAACTACTGCTTAGGTTTGCTTTCCTTAGTCGAGAGCACCAACACAAGTTTACTGAAGAGATATAGCTATTGCATCTGGCTTACTTCCTCTTTCAACTTAAATTACCTTAAAACCACAAGGTTGGGGGCAGGAGGGGTGTAATATCTTTCATTAGAGCAACTTCTGTTGATGAAAGAGAAGCTTTTGAGCTACACACACCTTTTTAGATGTGAGAAAGCTACTCAGTATCACAGCTAACTACAGTGGAACAAACTGCTCAGCAAAGTAGCCAACACATTCTAAGAGACCATTCAAGGTGAAATGGATCATTAACACCTCTGCAAACATGGGACAAAAAAGTGGGTTACAAAGCAGTTGTAATAATGAATCCAGTGTTTTAAGACCATTCCTCCAAAGGACAGCATTACTTCAGGCTTCAGATATTTACACAACAATGGATACCCTTCCAATATCTACCCCAAAGACATTGTCAAACCCGGATGATCCATTTACTCCTCATCCATAATTTTACATTCGCTTTGTCCAAACCATGGGAACAACCACAGGTATGCAGTGTTGTTGTAGTTGTGTTAGGGCCCTCAGGATGTTAACTAATGTGAATTTGTGTAAATGTGTAACTGCTGGATTTTGCAGCGATTACAAGTTTACACGTGGGGGGCAGGAGGGATCCAGTGCCAGCTTTAGAGTTGGCACCCCATGAGCACTGGCTCCCACCTATCCCTCCCCTACCCCCCCACTGTCTCTAACAAAGAGGCAGCAGGGGGAGAAGGGGCAGGCAGCTCCATGCAGCCAGCTCCCGCCTCGGATACAGAGGCAGTGGAAGGGGGAGAGGAGCTTTGCAGGAACTGAGCCAGTACACACAGGGAGCCACCTTGAAAGCTCGAATCCCATGTATACCAGCTCCCACCCCCTATGCTGTTGCTTCTTTATCAGAGGCAATAGCACCAGGGCGGGGCAGGACTCCACAGGAGCTGGTGCTCATGGAGAGACAGCTTTTAAACTGGATCCCTTCAAGCCTCGTCTCTCCCCCCCCCCCCCCCCCATACTGCACTACAGCCCTTGGAAGAGGTTTGGCATTCATGCTAAAATTTGGCATTCATGCTAAAATTCGACACCCTCCGCACCGGACTTAACAAAGACCCCAACTATCTTACACATTACAAAGATAGCTTCCCCAATTATCACCTCTAATACTATTAACTCACAGACATTTCCCCTTCCCCACCTCTAATATTAACTCACTGGCATTCACCTTCCTTCCCCCCCCCCATTCCCCTTCTGTTCTGTAATGTGATTTGTCCTTTTCATGTGTGTTCATTTTTTTTTAAATTGTATCCTTTGGTATATATGGTTGTGACTGTTTTCTTCCATTATTTGATCTGAGGAAGTGGGTCTGGCCCACGAAAGCTCATCATCTAATAAACCATCTTGTTAGTCTTTAAAGTGCTACATTGTCCTGCATTTTGCTTCAGCTACCCCAGACTAACACGGCTACATCTCTACCACTTGTAAGAGGTGAATTTAAAAATACTATTTCTTTTGGTTTTTACAGTGCACATATTTGTAAAAAAATATAAAATGAGCATTGTACATTTTGTACTGTGTTGTGATTGAAATCGATGTCTGAAAATGCAGAAAACATCCAAAATATTTCAATACACCATATTCTATTATTGTTTAACAGCACAATTGTTAATGCTATTTTTCAATTGCATGATTAATCACCTGTCAACCGTAATTAAACCAAAAAGACTTAAAAGATGTTTCACACTACTGATTAGAGCAATAATTGTTTTAATAAATTTAAAAGTTAAAATGTAAAATTATATATACAAATACAATACACAAAATAAAATATTTTGATTTTTATATTTTACAAGTTTTTGTTCAGAAAAATCAAAGTGATTGTCTGAACAAGTCTTCAGAATGTTAATTGTGGAAGATTCCAATAAATCCACCTTTAGTTCTGAAACAGAAGAAAAGTTGTTCCAAAATTCTGAAATTTTCCTTTGGAATGGGAAGTTTTTGTTTCTACCAGTTGTACTTCAATTTCCCATCTTCAAAAGTACATATTTAGTGCCTGTCTTTCTTGACAATTCAATTCCATCTGAAACTATTCCTGATGTACTCTGAGTGGTTAGCAATAATGCAGCACTCCCTTTGTCCATGACACAAGATGCACTGGTTCCTAATAGCAATGGGCAGAATCAAGGACCCAACTTTTAACCTTCAATCTCTTGAATAGCAGATATGTTGCTACTGAGAGGTCATCAGATCCGATCATATATTTTTTATACGAAGGGCCTCACACACCAAGATTAAAATATACTTACCTTCTTTTTATTCTTCAACACGACATAGTGATCCACTTTACCAAATCGAAGTCCCACACAAACTACTTCAAGTTCTGTGTATCCTTCATCTGGTAAGTTACCAAGATGCACAAACTGATTATATAAAGTTTCTGTATTTACCTACAAGAAAAGCATAAAGATGGAAATTCAAAATGTTGAATTGAACGGGCAAATGCAGAAAAATTACTGTGAAAATTCTGTCATACCTGAAAAGAAAAAAAAACAAAAACATATATATTCTTTTACTCAAGAGTTCAAATTATCAGATCCAACTTAGAAATATTCAGTAAACCTCAATGTGACTTCTACAACAGTGCTCCAAAAAAAACCTCCTTCCTCCTTTAACTGCTCATATTTTCACAATTTTAACTTTTTATAATGTGGCCTTGTATACCAAAGAAAGAGAGAAAGACTCACTCCTTTAGAAAAAGAAAAACACACTTAGAGCCTGTCACCTTAACCTTGGCTAGACAGGGATTTTATTTCTTGGACAAATAAGTTTGTCTTCTGGTACTTTAGTCTTTGATTCAGTCTCCTTCAACAGTTAAATGTGAACTTAACCTGAAGTCTGAGTTCCAACCAGTTAAAACCAAATTTTCTCCTTCTCAAGGTTTATGCCTAAAGACTGACAAGAGCTCTTTGACATAGGAAATTATTTTAGAAGTTTGCCTATAATAAAGCAAAATAAAGGGTTCCTCTTGTTCAAAGATTAATATAAAACAAATAGGGAGCTTAACATTTGCTAAAGAAGGGAAGGTGGATCCAACTATGATCAGGATGCTCAAAGGAGTTGTCAGCTTTCCATATGAAGTCACGATTATGACAGCTGCACAGGATTTAGTAGATTACTGTGATGAAATGGGAATTATCTAATATTTTCTGAATTCTGCGTGTACCTCAGTTTCCCCTTTCCTGGGTGGGGGGAGGGGAGAAGAGGAGGAGCAGGTAGGATTAAGTTTGTTCTGAAGGTTGAGTAAGCGACATAGGTTTGTGGGGATCATCTCCCTTCCTGGGTGGAATGAAGAGCCATTAAAGAACCTACATCAACAAGATGGCTGGAGAGAAAATGGAAGAGCCAAAGACCATGGATTTTCACCACCTTTCAACAGGGAAGCGGAGCAGAAATCCCAGCTCAAAAACAAGGACAGAGATACAAAGTGGGGATTTAAAAGTTGGCTTCTAAAAGAGGTTTGGAGCGCTCTCTCACTTAGGAACTGATAAGGAATTCAAAAAAGATAAGAGACCAATCCTGAAAATGAAGCTCACAACAACATGTTCTCTAGGCTGACCAAAATGGACTATACTTAAACTTTCATTTATCCATGCTAACTTTAAGGACATCTTATTCTGAACATAAGAACGGCCACACTGAATCAGACCAATGGTCCATCTAGTCCAATGTCCTGTCTTCTGACAGTGGCCAATGCCAGATGCCCCAGAAGGAGTGAACAGAACAGGGAATCATCACATGATCTATCCCGTCACCCATTTCCAGCTGCTGACAAACAGAGGCTAGGGACACCATCCCTGCCCATCCTGGCTAATAAGTATTGATGGACCTAACCTCCATGAATGTATCTAGCTCTCTTTTGAACCGTATTAACATCCTGGTCTTCACAACATCCTCTGGCAAGGAGTTCCATAGGTTGACTGCGTGCTCTGTGAAGAAAACTTTCTTTTGTTTGTTTTAAACCTGCTATCCATTGATTTCATTTGGTGACCCCTAGTTGTTATGTTATAGGAGCAAGTAAATAACTTTTCCTTGTTCACTATTTCTACAACAGTCATGATTTTATAGACCTCTCTCATATCCCCTGCTTAGTCTCCTCTTTTGAGTTTAGGAAAGTCCCAGTCTTTTTAATCTCTCTTCATATGGGACCCATTCCAAACCCCTAGTCATCTTTGTTCCCCTTTTCTGAACCTTTTCCAAAGCCGAGATTTCTTTTTGGAGATGAGGCAACCACAGCAGTATTCAAGATGTAGGCATACCATGGATTTATATAGAGGCAATAAGCTATTCTCTTGTCTTATTCTCTAATCCTTTTTTAATGATTCCTAACATTGTTTGCTTTTTTGACTGCCGCTGCACACTGAGTGGATGTTTTCAGAGAACTATCCACAATGACTCCAAGATCTCTAGTCCCCATTATTTGGTATATAGAGTTGGGATTATTTTTTCCAATGTGCATTACTTTACATTTATCAACATTAAATTTCATTTGCCATTTTGTTGCCCAATCACTTAGTTTTGTGAGATCTGCCTTCCAGTTGACTAATAACCCTAATGTTTTGAAAGCCCTGTACGAGGGCCACTGTAAATACAAGTCTCTTTGAAGAATCAATGTCAATTGGACTCACTGAGCTACAATGACACGCAGTTAAGAGAGCTGAGGGAAGGCATGTGTGAGGAGAGAATGAACAGGAGGATCTCCCAGAACTCCTATTAAACATTTATCACTGGCACCCATTCACAATGTGTATCTAAATAAAGTTATGCTTGTTCAGTCCACTTCATGCTGTTTTCTATGAGCTCTCCTACTGATTAGACCTCTAATTAAACAAAAAGCACAGTACAGCTTGGACCTCCCATGGTCCAGCACCATCAGAATCTGACTGGTCCCAGATGAGGGATTTTGCCATAACCGGGGAGGTCATTTCTGGCACTCCTGCTGCCAGCCTCATCCCCTGTTCTGCCGCCCCACCAGGCTGCCTGGCTCCCCCTGCAACACAGCTGAGCCATGCACTGGGCTTCCCGGGTCCCTCATGCATCAAGCTGAGACTCTCTGATCCTGGAACATCCGTGGTCAGACCAGAGAAGCCCAGTTCATAGATACTTTTTCATACTACAGGTTGCACCTCTCTCTCATGTTTTACTTTTTATTTAATGAAATTTAATGTTTACACAACATTTAATTAATTTTATAGCACTTTGTGTAGCAATTAGATTACCAAACTATAAAAATATAAAAATTAGCAGATGGCTAAATTACTGACCAATTTTTTTAAATTATCCTACTTACCTTCAAGTTGGCATTTTTAATCATAGCAGTAAATATAGCTTCCTGAAAAGAAGAGAGCATACATTATAGTTCTGAAATTAGATGGTTGGTACGGTTGCATGTAATTGGAAGGCACAGCATTTCATTGCTACCACCAACAACATATCAAAACAGAACCTGAAAATTTAAGATTGATGTGACAATCTTTCCCAAATTTAAGTACTTGATACAGCAAACCTCTCTCAACACTACCTTCATTAGAACTGTCACATTCGCTTTGCCAAACAAAAATTCTGTCTAGACCATATTTGCTAAAATACTTGGTAATGAAAAAACCAGTAGAAAAGAAGAACTGAGTTTTACAATAAGTATAACTCCTTGGGTGTACCCTATGATGTGCGCGCCTTGGAGAGAAAGGAGGCAGGGCTTGCGATAAACAGTAACTTGAAATAGCAGGGATCTAATGGATATTAAGTAAAGAAGCAGTCTAGCCTAGCAGGGGGGAATACACAAATGGATGCTGAGTAACTGCAACCATCTTAAAAAGAAAAAAAATGCTTCATATTTCATATGCTTACCTCATCTTTTACATTCTTGTATTCTGGTGCCATACTAATGCAGAGCTGATTTCCATCCACTGACATAGGGAAGCAAGTATAAAATTTAACCATGGAATCTGCAGATTTTTGAGTTATTTCCAGATATGCCTTTTAAACAAAAAAAGAAGTCTAAATGATCTTACAAAGCACAGAATTACTGTATGCCGTTATAAGTTATTTTAACATCTGAACTTGCTATACATTTCTTTTAGAGCTTCTTTATATGATGACAGAGTACCAGAAAACATTTTTTCTAAATACCAATTGGAATACCTTTTTATGAGAAGACAAAATTAAAACATCTTTCAGTCCTCCAAATGGCTTTGTTAGGTTGGAAACTTCCTCAACAGAATATCCTTTATCTGGTAAGTTTGAAATAACAACAACACAGATGTCATCCAGTTCCTGCAAACAAAGAAAGGTAGGTATTTTCACTAATCCACACTACTGCTCTAAATTAAAATAGTCAGTCAAGCCTTTCTGTATTTAAATGTCATTGTTTCTCTTAAAAGTGCACGTATTATTATCAGATAACATCAAACTGGAGTAAAGGTTGAATACATAACAGAAATTTAAGAATAAAATTAATGATCCTGTAATTCTCTCAAAAGCCACACATTGTAAACCCAGAAAACTCAATTAAGGTTAAACTTAAAATAAAATTCAAAAAAGTTATGATATGGAAACAGAGCACCCAAATCATCTTTAATTTAGAAATGCTTTGATGCACTGTAATGACCATAATTACTACATAGTAAGGTCTGCAGTCACAGATTAGATTAAATCAACTTCTGAATATACTCTGGGTTTTTCCTGAATTTCCTGGGTTTGTAATGCTCGTTTCCCTAATCATTACAGGAATGCTGTAATGATTTATGAACGTCATCCTTGCTTTTTCTTAATGTGGTGAGATGATACTTCTAATGATTATGAAATTACGTAGCACTGACCTCAAGTCTTTATTATTTCTATTGTTTACCTTTGCACCCAAATGCACTAGGGCACACTGGCTGCTTTGTGTCTCTCTGGAACAGCACAAAAAAGCCAGTGTATTATCTGTTTCCCCCAGCTCCAGACCTCCACACATGCATACACAAATCTCTTTTCTTTTGCCTCCTTCCTATCATTGCTCTTGCACACCATCCCGCGATAGCCTTTTTTGCATAGAGCAGATATGGGCAATGAGTAGTTTTTAAAAAGAAATGTTTAACATTAATAGTCTTTTTTGCTATCTTTCATCACAAACTTTCTCCTTCAGAATGAGTCAATGAACAACATTCTTCTACTGATTTAACTTTCTCGTCCAACACTGATGGCTGCGGAACCAAAGAATTTGCCAGACCGCAGCATTAGCAACATTTCCCCTGCTTATTGGACTCTTAGGGTACGTCTAAACTACATGCCTCCGTCGACGGAGGCATGTAGATTAGACAGATCGGCAGAGGGAAATGAAGCCGCGATTAAAATAATCGCGTCTTCATTTAAATTTAAATGGCTGCCCCGCTCTGCCGATCAGCTGTTTCTCAGCATATTGGGGCAGTCTGGACGCACCGCGTCGACAAAGAAGCCTTTCTTGATCGGCACAGGTATGCCTCGTGAAACCCTAGATCACATGCCCGCCGCCTGTGGCCCCAAAACGCTGTCCGGGACTCGCCTTACTCCTACGCACACAACGGCTTGGGCATCCACCTTGCTCCCCATGGCTACAGTTACCAGGTAGTCTAAAAAAATCCCGGACATACTTGATTTGGGGGGGGAAGAGGGGGAGGGACCAGCCAGGAGGAGAGCACAGCTGGCTGGGAGGAGGAGGGGGAGATGCCAAGCTGGTCAGGGCAGCGGGGCTGGTCAGGGGAGAAGCGGCTGGGGGGAAGCAGAGTTGGGGGGGAGGGGGAAGTGGGGCTGGGCAGGGGAGATCAGGAGAGGGGCTGTGGGGGGGGGGGAGCTGGGGCAGGAGGGGGGGCCAAG